AGAGAGAGAGAGAGAGAGAGAGAGAGAGAGAGATCCTGTTAAAATGTAAAATTGATTCTGTGTTGCATTATTCATTTAGTAAGTTATTCCTCTATCATTATCATCATTTTGGGACAAATATGTTCATCTGAAATTCTAACAAGCACTTACTGTAACCTGATGCTGTGTTTAATTTTACTTCTCTGCTCTTGTCATTTAATTTAGAGATATTAGCATAGTCTATTATTGAAGAAAACCAAATTTATCAAAGCATAGATGTTTTGAGAGATTAAATATAGATTAAAAAATCCTAGGAATCATAGTCAAAATAAAAGTAAATGAAAGATTAAGCAAATGTTCAGAATTTCTGGAAAGATCAGCAAAGTCATTTCTTTAGTTAGCAAACTCTTTAAAATATTTATTAAATAAAATCAATTTTTAGGAAGTTTTCTTTGTAGTTGTTTAATAAATTATACAGTTTCAGTGGGAAACCTGGTCATAAGTGAATTTGCACCCACCTGTGTGGTACTCTTAAATACACTGAAGGCTCTAGTAATAGGATTTTGATGTGTTATTAACATTCAGTTAAGAATTTCAAGATTTGTAGGAAGGACTCGCTTCCAAACTGGCCATCTAACATTCATTTTCTATAACAGACATGGCAGCTAAGAAGTTTTAGCTTTGATGGGATTTAACATAGGTACTAAATTTAAATTTGAAGACATCATCTACCAATACCATATTACCACATTGAGCTGATATCAATTCTGTGTCAGAATCTTTATGATTTAAGAACTGATTCCAAAGCACCTATAATACAATTTTAACACATACAAAAAATTCRAAAAAGCAAAGAACTAATTAGAGTACATTTATCATTCCATCTGCATCATTTTTACCCTAATGTCTTTATAAAGTACTTGAGTGTAATGTTCATTACCTCCGACAGAACTAAATGTTCTATGGTTATGAAAGAATATATTTATTTAAAACATTGCTTTTATTTTGAAAAGCTTCTTAATTAATTTGATTAACAAATATGCTAATTGGGGGKAATCTAGAGAAGATAATTGTTGAAATTTTGCAAATGTAAACATCTTCTATAGCTATTGTGTTATTTCTGACTTCTTCTTAACACTATTATGTTCACATTGCACATTACTGAGACAGTAAAGATATGAAAAAAAGTACTTTTCTTGTTCCTTGTTCTCTTTTGCTGTAAATTAATTGAAAAAGGAAAGATGATGAAAATGGCTTATTATATGAAAATATCTTAAGGGATGTGCTATTTCTGTGACCAGATATCATAAAATTATTCTGTGAGTTTAAAACTGGGCACTTGGGAAAGGGATGACTAAATTCAATTGAAGATAAATTTCTGATCTTCTTCCCCTTTGGTACTAGAGATTGGACTCAGGGTGCTCTACTACTGAGTTACATCCCCACCCCCCTTYCCTTTTTATTTTTTGAAACAGGGTCTCACTAAGTTGCTTAGGGCCTCACTAATTTGCTGAGGGTGGCTTTGAACCTRTATTTTCCTGCCTCAGCCTCCAGAGTTGCTGGGATTACAGGTGTGCACCACTGGGCCCAGCTTGAAGGCAAGTTTCTAAAAGTTCTACAAGGCCTGAAAAAATTTCTTCACATTCCATTTTACTAACTTTCCAGTAGAAGGAATAAAAAATGTAGGTATCTGAGTCCCTTATGAAAAGAGATAAAMTACACAGAAACAAAACCCACCTTCCATCAGTTAGTTGCAGACTTCTTCACCTCTGTGAATTCCACTTGACTGATCCATGYCTCTACTGGTGATATGAATGGGTAGGGAAAGACAAAGCCTCAAAACTCTCAATATTTATACATTTATTTACTTTGGGATCAAATCCAATCTTTAGAAGTAGCTTCCCTACTTTATTCCTTTTGAACTAGAGCTCCAGTCAYCCTTAGGTTCTCCTTAAATATTCCTGAAAGCACAATATGTACTCTCCCTCATCTGGCACTACTTCTAGCCATGGGCTGTACCCATTCCATTCCATTAAATCTTGCTGCAAAATAGGAAGTGAAATGTGGAGCAGAAAGGAGCTTTAGAATCTGGAGAGAGGAGCTGAGGGTCTGGTCTATACAGAGAAAAGTTAAAAGAAAAACAAAGCCTTTTGCTTATCATGCTCCTACCACATTATTACATTCAAGTGTTTGTCTCCTTTCTAGATTTGAACTGTTGAGGATGAAGTGCCCTTCTGTCCACTTATCTTTGGGTGATGCTAGTAAAGTTRTGAGTTATATATCAATTCTGTCTTTACGTAGTCATTCTTTTACATGGCCAAGGGGATTTCAGGCAGAGATGGTAAGTATTATCATGGACATTTTACAGGCGAGAAAGCCCGAAGCCAATGAGATAGTAAATGAAAGAAATTATTTTAAACTTAAGCCTGTCTGATATCATGTATAAGAGTATTTATTTGGTGAYTTTTATTTTAAATTTATTCTCCAAATTTTAGACTTATACTATTAACTCCATTATAATCACAAAACAAAGATGTGTTTGTGTGTGTGTGTACATACACACTCTGAAAATATTAGGGACCAGAATAAAAGCAAAAATGAGAAACAGACATATATAAAAAGAAAAAAATCACTCATTATTAATATTTTGATTTATATCCCTTCAGATGCTGTTTTAGAGTTTAAATTTGTTCTCTCTTTTTTAAAAAAAAAAACTCTTTTTTATACACATACACACATTGGAGCTCCTACATTCATTGAACTGAATGTAGCCCACAAATGACGTATTTTATTTGATCATTGAATCTTTTTCAAAAATTTTTAATCAATAGACAACTTCTGAAAATCAAGAAATTTTCTTTGAGATTCAATTTCTTGTTTCTTTTAAAATATTGGCTATTTTGATAACCTGAGACACTCTCCCTTCCCCTGACATCACATGTACTCCTCTTGCTTGAYATCAATTAATTGGAGCTGCCTCTCCAACAGGGGCACATGCTGTCCAGWTTGCTAAAGTGAGTCTTCACTGGCCATTTACATCTGGCCCCAATGGATATATTAGGTTGTGACCCTGGATCCAAATCATCATTTATAATAATTGTGCTTAGTCTTATTATGTGATTTCCATAAAATACTTAGTAAATCCCCTATTGCTAGACTTTCTCTCCCAATTTCATATTATATGAATACTGCAGTAATAAAATCCATTTTTATAAAGTGTTTAAGTTATTCTTTAGGATGAWTTTTTAGATGTGGAATCATTGGAACAATGGACACTAGAATTTTAGGGATGTTGAGAAATATTGTCAAATAGTCTCTGGAAAACTCACCCAACTTAAATTCCTACCAAGAATTTATAAGAGTGCTCAAATCTTTACTAATAATGGATTTAATTTTTAAAATTTTCATCTTTGCCAATCAACTAATTTTTTTTTTAAAAACAATCTTAGTTTCCTTGATCTTTAACCTCTGGTAAGTTTTGATATATTAATATGCTATTAAATGTAAATCATCAGAATTAACTTTTGTTGTCCAGAGGTCACAATCATGAAAGTGAAATGACACAGAATATGTTTCTAAATTATATGTTGGATATGAGACAAGGATCCATAATATATAAAAAAGTATTACAATTCAATAAAAAGACAACCCACTTTTAAAAAATGGACAAAAGATCTGAATAGATTTTTCTTCATAGAAGAAGACATGCAAATGAGAAATGAGCATATGGAAAGATGCTCAACATCTTTAAACAAAAATCAAAACTACAATGAGATATGACTTCATAAGGTTAATAAGAACTGTTAGGATGTGAAGAAATTGAAGTCATTCTATACTGTCACTGGGAATGTAAAACTGTGCAGCTAGTCTGGAAAACACCTTGGCATTTCCTCAAAAGTTTAAACATAGAGTTGCCCTATGACCTAACAATTCTACTCCTGGACTTATACCAAAAAGAAATGAAAATACATGTCCACACAAAATTTTGTATAATGTTGTAGCAACATTATTCATAATAGTCAAAACATCCATCGACTGATGAAAGAAGATACACAAAAATTGAATATACATACAATAGATTATTCAACAATAAAAATAAACGAAGTACTGAGTCATGCCACAGCATGAACGAACCTTGGAAGCATTATGCTTAGTGAAGGAAGCCAGGCACAGAGGCCACATATTGAATGTATAAAACCAGAACAGGCAAATCCATAGACAGAAAGTAGACTAATGTTTGCCAGRGACTGGTGAAACTGAAGTTTTTAGACAAAACCTGATTCTTTGCTTCTGCTGCCAGATAAGACGAGATTCTCCACAGGTGCTGGTTGTGGGCCTCTGCAGCAAAAAAATATTGCAGCTCTTAATGGTGGGCTACGCTTCCCATATTACAGCAGTCCTCAGCAGCTCACACTTGATTTCTTCCTTTCTGGATTCTTGGGAATTAGAAGAATGAAATCCACAGACAAGATGAGTGAGCTTAGAGTAGGATTATTCACATATGCACAGAAAGAGAACTCCCACAGACGAGGGGACCCAGGAGAGGTTGCTGTTTGAATCTGCTATTCTAGGGATTTCTGTATCACTTGGGTCCATGCTATTGGTCCAAACACATGCTAATTAGGGTTTGGAAAAGTACTAATGCTATTGGTTAGCCMCGAATCCCACKCAGGTTTGCCTTCCTTCCATTTTCTCCTTGCTTCTTAGGAAGCTGGAGGTTGAAGGCAGTGAATTGCAGTGTTCTGGAGCAGCAGCGCTATGGTGGGGCAGGCCAGTGCGCCTTGGCTCACCTACAGTGCTGGCCCACCCTGCCTCAGGCCTTTGCTGGCTGCCTGCACCCCAGCTCCCCCTYTCTGCTGCTCTGCTGCCCATTGCTGCAGGGACCACTGGG